TTAGGGTTTAGGGCTATACTCCTTGGCCCCAAGAAGCTATATGGGAAGACCTTTGGAGCGTAGGTGTATGCTATTTGGGGTCGGGGTCGCTGTGGTGGTGATTTTGACTTCCACGAAGACGACGCCTAAACCCTAAACCCTAGACTCCTTCTCGGGTTTAGTGAGCTTGGTGATTAGGGGTATGCGATTTTGAAGTTGAAGCGGGGCTTTCAGAGGGCTCGGGGCCTGATGTAGGAGGACGGAAGAAGCAACGTGCCGTGGAATTCATGCGATTTCGTGTGACCGTGAGCTCTCTGTCATCAAAGAGGGTATGAGAAACCTACCTGAACCCTAAACGTATGAAAAATAATGGATTCGTGTATATACTGTTTTTAGTGGTTTTGGGTTCTCATGTTACTTACTTTTGGGGTGCAGGTAGAGCCTAACCAGAGCCTTCAGGATTACAAGCTGCTCAGTATTTGTTGAATTCCTCTGCAAGACGTGAGGGCCCTGCCCTAAACTCCAAGCCTTAACCCTAGGCCCTAAACCCTCAACCGCATTAAACCTTTAAAAACCTGAGCTCCTACATCTGGTAGCAAGCAACCCCCAGGCTGCTGCAGACAAAGTCAGGCAGCGCAGTGGTATGCAACAGTGCTCCGGTTACCCGAGAATGGCCCGAATTTAGGTTGAATTCCCGTGCCATCTGGTGACTTTGGTACAGGCCTTGTCCAGTTTAGGGTTTAGGGTTTAGGTGGGTTTAGGGTTCAGGGAAGATCTCACATTTCAGAATGCTGTGGAGGCCGAGTATAGAAGCATGCATGATCTCCAACCTTATCTGTCGGAACCCCTTTTCAGTTCAAGTATGGTATGATATAACCCAAGTCCTTATTCTTGTTGTGTAGGCCCTTATGAATGTGTGCTAAGCCCCGCTCCATTTCATGTTTCATATTTTTCTATTTGAATAATGCAGCCTGCTTCAAAGTACACAGGCCTTTGCAATCTACATAACCCTATAAGTCCACTACATTCTACGTAGCCGCATACATCCCTACAAACCCCCTACGATATCCCTTTTAAAAATCCCTATTCTAGTTATGTGGTGGTTGTTCAGAATTCCTGTCTCCGAGATGGCCCATGGCCATGATTATAGGTTTCCTGTTCGGCTAGGGTCCCCTTTTAAGGAAGTGTGTTCCCAATGGTCCCTTCTTTACGAGGACCTGCAGAACAATCCCCTACCCTTAAATCCCTAAACCCCTGAACCCTAAACCCATAATCCCTGAATAGTAGTTTCCATTTTCTGTTCCATTATCCCTTTATAACCCCCCTATAGCCCTAACCCAGAACCCTGAGCCCTTAAACCTTAAACCCTAGACCCTGAACCCTAAACCCTAATAATATATAACCTTTATAATGGTCCCCGAAACTGCACGACGCAGATACAGCGCCTGGAAGAAGGAATAGATGAATTCCAGGCCTGGCAGCGTAGTATTTCAGACTGGGGTTTAGGGTTGAGGATTTCAGGGTTTAGGGTGTAGGGTTGTGGGTTCGGAGTTTAGGGTTCAGGGTTTAGGGTTCAGGGTTGAGGGTTGAGGGCGTGGGGTTTAGGGTTCAAGGTTCAGGGTTTTGGTTTAAGGGTTTGGGGTCTACATATTTTTCCGGACCCTGCGGCTATTAAAGGCTTAGGGAATCTACTTCTAAAGGGTTACACATAGATATTGAGGTGTCGCAGTATGCTGTTCAAGCCACGGGCCCCTCAAAGTAGGGTGTTTTCAGGTTAGGGGTCGCATTCCAACCTGGGGCGGCCTGAAACTGACTTTAGGGCTTAGGCTTTAGAAATTATGTTTGCCTGTTCTGACCCTCCAATTAGCGGCTGCTTAAACAAGGAGGGCTCCGGAGCAGATAGAGTTCAAGGCCTGGACCTCCCAACAGCCCCTAGTTAGGGCCGTTATACACATCATCTTGGGGTTAGAGGCCGTAATTTTGGGTACTTGGAAGGTTCAGGGAGGGGTTGGGCCTGCAAAGATTTAGTGTGTTAAGTGTTAATGTAGGGCTTGTGTGGTCAAAGGTTTCAAAGATGTGTCGTGCCATGTATTAAGTTTAGTGTTTAGGGTGTTGTTGCTTTAGTTTCGGTGGACGTGACATTCAGCGCTTTGGAATGCATAGCGGCAAGCGGATGTTGGAACCGAAAGTAAGCCCTAAACCCTAACGTGTATACCTTGTGTAATGCAGAAACCATCCATTCAAGGGGGCAGTTTAAGGGCTTCATATATCCATATTACAATGTCGAGCCAGCTGCCAGTGCGTGGAGGCAGCACGGCGAAGCTTACACAGAGGTTGTAAGGCTTGACTTTGCGTTAACACCGACCCCCGACAAGGATACTTGTTGTGGAAAGCTTTTTTCAACATAGGGCACCCTGGGTGACCTTAGGTGTATGGGACCGTAAATCCTAAACCCCGGACCCTAAACCCAAACCTAAATCCCAAGCCACAACCCTAAACCCTAAAACCCTATACACAAAAAATATACCCTAAACCCAAGCTTTGGAAAGCTACGTGGCAGAAAGACATAGCAGCCCTGACTCAGATGCAAGGGGAGCTCCTGGGCATGAGAGGGTTTCAAATTTCGGCTTCTAGGTTGGCCTTCGGGTTTAGGGTTTAGGGTTTCGAATTTAGGGTTCTGGGTTGGCCTTTGGGATACTTACATATTTCCCCTAATTGGTTTCATAAGGACCCTATATACTACTATTTTTCAAAGGGCTCCAAGGGCCAACCAAGGGTTTAATGTTTAGGGTATGGGGTTTTGGGTGTAGGACACAGTGGAAGCTTTGATTATTCGGACGAGTGATTAGGGGCGTGATTTACCAAGTTGTTTTTTTGGTATTGTGCCCACAGGGGTCCCTAGCGTCATATCTGGGGGATAGGGGTTTCGGGTTCAGGTTTTGGAAACCAATGATCAAAGACTTTAAGTTTGTACCCTTAATGTTTGTAACCTTAGGTTTTGGGTCCCAAATACCCTTTTTCAGACCTATATTCCATGCTTCAGGGACCCAAACCCAAGGGTACTATCCTAAGCCCCAACACCTAATGAATAACATTCTCAACGGAATACCGTAGCGTTCAATACAGCACATCGTATTCTGTATTGAGCGTCATGGTATCCCGTTGAAAATGTTATTCAGAATACCATTCTAGCCTCCTTTTGGGTAGATGTTTGCATAGAAATCCTATCCTAAGGTGGTTCAGGCACCACAAACACTGACCCAAACACACTTTCATTCCAACTTTGGTACCCAGACAACCAACTTCTTACACGACGTGCGGGTTAGGGGTTTGCGGAAAAAAGGTTTCGTGTTTAGGGTTCAGGGGTTAAAGGTTAAAGGTTTGGGTCTCGGGCTTCGATTTGTACATAGGGCGGCCATTTGGCGTTAGGGGTTCAAGTTTTGGGTTTATAGTAAGACTACCTCATGCTCGTAAAAAGCATGCATTAGCGCGGCAAGGCAACCAACTTGAGTGTACCTGGGCCCCAAAAGTATGTAAAAGAATTGCCTTGGTTTAGGGTTTAGGGCTTTATGGCTGTATGGCCTTTGGGCCCAACATCCTTCAAATATGAATCCTTAGATGCATAGTGTATGGGCTTATTGGTATTATTTTACATGTTTGTGGGGCTTAGGTAATGTCCTTAGCAGATCAATCCGCAAGGGTCCAGGTTTACCATATATTTGGGATTTTAGGCCCCCCAGAGACCCACTTAGATCAAACTACACCCCAAAGCGTTCCAGAGTTAATTTTGATTTGGGCTGTTTAGGGATGACTGGGTTGAGTCAAGCTAGAGTATTTGGGATTCCGGGCCCCAACGTTTGGGTACTTGATCCCTCACAGAGACTGATCCAGGCTAAGGCGGTTGTACGGAGATTTATGCAGAGAGCTCGCGCAGCCGGGTGATCTGAGCTACAATCCCAGGAGGCCTAAGGGTTTAGGGTTTGGGGAGTCAACCCGACTCATAAGCACCCTGCTGGACTCGTAGATCATGTAATTACTGAAATCGATTAAGGAGAGAATTCAATCAAGGCATGTTTATAGACATGGGAAGCCGAGGCTAGGGAAGGAAAACCCAACATATAAGTTAGGTGATACCCTACAGCTTCGTTTGCTTCATGCTAAACTGGGTACTTACAAATAGCACTGACATTGCCCATACTGTAGTACATGCGTTTTGCCAAGGTTGCAGGAGATGTGCTCCAACTTTCAAGAGGACATCGCCAGGCGGAGCCATAGCAGTTTACACACGTAAATACATACATACAGACATACATACATGCATAGCAACCATAAGGTTGTTTAACATAAGTTCCTCAACAACAGCCCAGCAGGTTAACATGGACGGCCATGAGAACCCTGAACGGCAAAAACGGCAATCGCCTTTGTTGGGCCTCTTTAGTGACCCTGCTCGGGGTGGTTGGGGTAGAGTGGATTCTGGGTGTGAGCTTTAGCAAGTGTTCCCTGATTGGCCCAAAGTCTCCAAGTGTCTACATGGGATGTACCTAGATCCCCAAAAGTACTCACATGGGAATCCCTTGAGGGGATCAAAGCATATCCCAATTGGGTACCTGGGGCTCTTGGCGGACTGCCCTCTTCGTCATAGATCTAGATGCAGCAGCAGTTGTAGCACGCCATGGGCTGGGAGCTCTGGAAGCCTAAATACTTACAAATATGATGGTTCCAGCGTTGCATCTTTATGGTGTAGCGTCCCTCGAGTAGACTTCAAAATGATATTGGTAACTATTGAGGCCTCTATAGTAGCCAGGGCTTGAACTTAGAGAGGGTCATACAGTTAGTGGACAACAGCCGTCAGGCTTCCGGGTTCAGAAGCCCACGGAAATGTGGAAGTTCCTGTGCCCTCTCTGGTTGGGGTTTAGGTTTTTGGGTTTGGGTGGCCCCTTGCAGCTGGATGCCCTGGCATGGTTTAGGTTTTTGGGTTTAGGTGGGCCCTTGCAGCTGGATGCCCTGGCATGGTTTAGGTTTTTGGGTTGAGGTGGGCCCTTGCAGCTGGTTGCCCTGGCATGGTTTAGGTTTTTGGGTTTAGGTGGGCACTTGCAGCTGCATGCCCTGGCATGGGGCTAGAAGCCTGAATTCTACTTCCTCTGGCCATCCGGAGACAGATCAGACCCCCAAACCAGCCCCTGGCCGCGCGAGTCCTACATCCACAGCAGACTAGGGAGCGTAGTCCTAATTGATGTAGAAGCTCTAAGAACTGCCCAAATCATTCTCATGAAGCCTTCATACGACCATGGTGACATGTATTCCCAAACCTTACTCTAATTGTTTGTGGCAAAAAGACCTTGGTCTGCCGACGGGAGGCTCTGGGTTTGCTTATGATGCACAGTCCACGTAGATCGGAAAAGCCTGGCATTGCAGACTCCTATGCGGGTTTAGGGTTTAGGGGTTTAGGGTTTAGGGGTTTAGGGTTTAGGGTGTATGCAGGCTGGTGCACGCTGCACCTAGTTAGTTGACTCCTGACCCATCTCAAGGATTCCTGGGTTGTAATTCTAAGGCCGTACGCCTAAAAGGTTTTGCCCAATATAGCCCTAATATAGCCCTTATCTGAGCCAATGTAGTCCCCTAGGGTCCCTTAAAAGGATCCCAAAACCCAGGGGTACAACCCTAGGGGTACAAGCCTGAAACCCTGAACCCTCTAAACCCGAAACCCTAAGCAGTACAGATTCAAGTTTCATTTTACCTGAAAAACCTAGTTTGTAGTATGTGAGGGGCCACCCTGAATCCTGCAAACAAAGTCTTCCCAAGTTGGTGCTATATAGGATGTCGAAAGTTCTGTAGCAGTTCCAAAGATTAGACAGCTCTTTTTGGAAGCCCTTACCCTACAACAAGGACCATACTCTTGGCTGTGTACATGAGGCCATTTTCCAGAAACCCTAAACCCTAAACCCTCCAACCCTATACCCATAAAATGGTTGGAGAACAGGCAGGTGACAGAGGACATCCTCGGTCGACTGGAGTACGTGGAGGAGCAGGTGCGGCGGCTTTTACGGACCACTGTGAAGGTGTTTAGGGTGTAGGTTCCCATTAAATGTAGTTGAAGATTTGGGAGTCACGTCCCATGATTACTTGCCAGCCAAGCATGCAGAATCCAGTGGAAAATCACATGGGAAACCGGGGGGTCGTAGGGATATATCAGGAAGGCTTCGTAATTCGGATTGCAACCCAGGTCTAACTGTCATTATAGCCAGCCCATTTACAACTCCCTTTTGAGTCCCTGGATGAGGTTCCAAGACAATGGTTGGGGGGGGGGGGGCTTGATGGGGACAGGATTCTATGTTTTGGAGAACATCAGGGGACCCCTACTTCAGAAAATATCTAGTGTAGGTAAGCCCTAAACCTGAAGCCCGAAGCCCTAAACCTAAAGCCCAGTCCAGCTTTCCCAAAGGGTCCAGGTAGCTATATAGTATACACTTTGGCCCTAAAGTAGCTATATGGGAACCCCTTTGGGCCCTAAGTATATAATATATAACTACATGGACCCTTTGGGTTTAGGCTAGGGTAGAGGCGTGGGCCCAGGTCACGGATCTTCTAAGCTTTAAAGCCAACGGCTTCGGGCCCAGGATTTAGGGCTTATTAGGGCTTTACGGCTTTGAAGTATAGGGTTTAGGGCTTAGGCGTAGAGTTTGACATATGAAAACTTTCTTTTTCTTATGTCCTAGAGGTAGCCCAGACCCTATATTAGAAAAGGTGCAGATAACACAAGATAAGTTACAAGACCCTTCTTGTTGAGTATTTTGGTTACTCTGGGTATGTCCTAAACATGAAGCTTCAGGCTTTAAACCTTGCATCCACAGGCCCGGAGTAACTGGATTAGTGTGTGAAAGCTTTGGGCCCGAACCCCAAAAGTATGCAGAATGATGGCCCTTTGGGCTGTTTTGAGTGGTTTTGGGCTATTACGTTGCCAACTTTTGGGGTCCAGGTAGGCCTTAACAGGTGCAAGGTTTAGTCTCAGCTTCATGTCCCGGGGAGTTCGGGATTCTTGTTGTTGTGAAGGTGCTTGCTTCCAAACCCCTACCTAGACTAACCAATGTATATACCCAACAATAAAGGGTTTTGTACCTGGCTGAACCCCAAAAGTATGTAAAATAGTTGCTTTTTGGTCGTTTTAAGTATTCTTTCCCGGCCCTGAAGCCGGGAAACCCAAACGCCAAAACCTACACCTAACAAGCATCCATAGGCTTACAGGTGTTTAAGTGGGAGTGGGTGGAAGAATCCCTATACATTGGGTCATTCCCCCTCCCAGTAACTGTCCGTAAAGGGGCCTTATTAAAGAGGTTCTTATAACTCCTATAACCCATTGTGGTAACAGTTACTGTAAGGGGGAATGACCCCACCTATACATCACGTCCCCATCCATACCTGTATATATACACATATAGTCCCCCTGAAGTAGATGGAATATGGCTTTGGGTATATTATACTAAGATCCCCATATACGCCAAATTCTATCTACGTAAGGGGGACTATAGTTGTACTGCATATTCATGTGATATCTATACATATATATATGCAGATATACCTTATGGTAATACCTATGTTCACTTCCTGTAAGGAGCCGGTAGGTACCCACCCATAGCCCCCTAGAGCCTAAATCCTCTAAACCCTAAGCCCCTAAAGCCTCAACCCCCCCTTAAAGCCTCAACCCCCAAACACGACCCTAAACCCTAAACCCTAAACACTAAACCCTAAACCTGATGGCACCCAGAGGTCTGCAGCATGGGTGTTGCCATGGAGGAAGCCCCAGTCCAGGCCGAAGAGACTTTATCAGGGTTTAGGGCTTAGGATTTAAGGTTTAGGGCTAAGGACTTAAGGTTTAGGGCTTAGGACTTAAGGTTTAGGGCTTAGGATTAAGGGTTTAGGGCGTAGGATTCAGGATTTAAGGCTTAGGATGTAGGGTTTGGGGTTTAGGGCTCAGGGTTTAGGGCTTTGGGGGGCGTGGTATATGATGTCATAATCTAGGGCTTGGGGTCCGGGGGTCCTCTGAACATGATTTTGCGTGTTTTTCTGTTCGTAAAACCCCCTGATTGGGACTTTAAGGGGTAGATATTACGGTGCTTATACGACGGTGATAGGGGATCATGTTGGTAATTATTTAGGCTTCTATAGTAGCTTGGGGGCTTGAGATTTAAGAGGTTGATAGTTACTTGGGGTGTGAAGGTTAGGAACAGATTTAGAGTATATTATTGCGGGGTTAAAAAATGAGCGTGGACGCCCGTGGTCTAACTATCCTCATTCGTGATGCCTTGCTGGAAGACACTGTGCTGAATGCTCGCTGCGAATTTGGGTTTTGGTAGTCTGCCGGCATCTTTTGCTTGAACATCTCCACTCGCATGCTGTCTTTCCAGAACTGCGAGCACCTGTTCTACCGAGGTTCACTGGAGACGATGTAGGGTTTAAGGTGCAGGGTTTCTTACAATTTGACGTCCGTCTTGGGGCTCCCCATTAGAAAGACAAAGTAAAGGGTTGTTCGGTATATCTGGAAAGCGTGGTTTGTAAATTGCCGACTTTCGCAGCTCAACCTTGTATTGGTAGCAAGAGGAGGGCTTGGGTACCCCCAGCCATCATGATACTGAGCCCAAAAGAATCTACGGTCCTTGATTGGGGGGGTTTGGGTAGCCAGCACACTGTTATTACCTGAAGACTGTGTAATTCGTGCAACCCAAATAGAACCCCAGCTTGTATGTAATTTTCCGCGTGTTTGCTCATTTTAGCCTTCCTTCTTTGCCTGAAATCTTAACCCTATTCCCAAATCCTGTTCCTAAACTCTAAACCCTAAACCCTGAAGGGGCCTGTGGCTATGCAGACACCTCGCAGGCTCTCGAAGGTAGATCCCCGTCCTAAAAGAGGTAGGTTTCCCTAGGGCTCCACGTCTACAAATATTTCCTACATTGGGTGCCAAAGTCTTTTAATACTACCTACATTGGGCTACTTGGAGCCTCAGGATTTGAAAAATAGTTTGCATTTTTGCCACCCTTAATTCCTATAAAATCCTTATGAAGCCACAAAGATTAAATTGTTATAGGGCCCCCAAACCCACCCTAGCTAAGGGTTGCCAGAAATTACGAGTAGCATATTGTAGTGTAAGGTACCATATGAGCCATTGTCTAAACTGCCGGTATCCCCCTTACTAAGCCCGATAATACTCCCCTATGAATCCCCCATATAACTCCCTTTAAGAAGTTGAGACCCTAAGCCCTAAACCAAATATGACCTTATATAATCCTATATACTTCCCCCGCATAATCCCCTTTAGGGAGTTTAGACTATAGCTCATATGCGGCGGGCGTGTTCTATTTTTTTGAAGCCGATCCCAGACTTCCGTTTAGGGTTTAGGGTTTGTGCTTCTGATTATTTTCTTTCAGGCAAATATAGTCCCCCCCCATTAACAACCTTCTCTTCCCGTAGTTACAAATATTCCCACCAGTATAGCATGGTATTGTACTGGCGCATTGTTAGGGGGAGCCTGCTCCTTAACTCTAAATCCTACTTCCTGCACCCGAAACCCTGAGTCCTGGACTCTACACATCAAGCCCTCAACCCTAAACCCTGAACCCTAAACCCTAAACCCTATTACATTGCTCAGGGGAGAGGACTACCTGGACCCCAAAAGTATGCCAAAAAGTTGCCTTTATGGCTGTTATTATGGGTTTACGGCTATTATCTAGCATACTTTTGGGGGTTTAGGTAGTCTCAATCTCCATCGCTGCTTCTCAAGGCGATGCTCTGCCTGCAGCCGAATTTACCTTATCTGACGCGCATGAACAGACTACTAATATCTGCTACATAAACCGCAAATGTATGTAGGAATTATTGCCTTTTGGGCTGTTTTATGTGGTTTTTGGCTATTATTTTACCTTCTTTTGGGGTCTAGGCATTCTTGTTATTTTGTAATAACTGAGTGTTAGGGGTGTAGAGTTTAGGGGCTTCTTATTAACTAACTAAGTAGGTTTAGGGTTCAGGGAAGAATTGGGGGCCGTAATATAGAGCCCAAGATATTGTAATCCTCGTTATTCGCCTTCTCACAGAGGGGCCTCCAATTCTTGCAAAGCGCAAATATTACCATCAATACTAGTATTACTGCTGCTGCTACTACTACTACTACTACTACTGCTACTACCAGTAGTACTACTCAAAAGCTCACGGATAGCTACGACTACATTGGTAGACTCACTTGCGGCATGCATACTCATAACTACCAAGGCTCAAGCCCCATAGACCAACTCCAGACCCATCCCTATAACCTCAGCCCTAGACGCTAAACCCTGAGCCCTCATAGACCCTTCACATTATACCCTAAGCCATAAACCTTGACCCTTAACCCTTTAACCCAGACCTAGATTGAAGATGCTTCGCATTCCATGGCAGTTCGGAGCTCTTGACCAAGACCCCAACACCCTGGATCCTAAACAGGAATTAGAGGTTTAGGATTCCCATTAAATTTCAATTAGGACACTAAACCTCACAAAAGCAGAACAACCCTAAACCCTACAGCCCCCGGAATTGCAGTTGAGTTGTGTCCCTTTGTGTGTGAGGTCCTAGCTTAGACTAGACCCCCGGGGAGGCTCCAGAAACCAGACCCCCCTCCTAACATTATTCCAGAATAGTTTTGGGCCTTACCAAATGTATGCAGAGTAATGGCCTTTTGGGCTGTTTTTAGGTGTTTTGGGCAATTATTCTACCTAGTTTTGGGCTCTACGTCTTTCTACATCTTCCCAGGGTCTGGGACCCTCAGCCCTTGATAGAACCCCTAAACCCTAAACCCCTAAACCCTAAACTCCTAAACTCCTAAACCCTAAACCCCTAAACCCCTAACCCCTAAACCCCAAAACCCTACACCGTTCCTATGGGATGGCTGCAGCCTTGAAAAAATGCTGCCACTACTGGGTCAAGGGCTCAAAGGCGCGGCGAGATTTAGGGTTTAGGAGTTTTAGGGTTTAGGAGGTTTAGGGTTCAGGGTTTAGGGTTTAGGAGTTTTGAGGTTTAGGGTTTACGGTTTAGGAGGTTTAGGGTTTAGGGTTTAGGAGTTTTAGGGTTTAGGGTTTAGGGTTTAGCCGTTTTAGCGTTTAGGGTTTAGGTTTTAGGGTTTTGGAGTTTTTGGGTT